AAGCTTGCAACTCTGTAGTTGTGGCCTGGGAATTGTCTTGGTAGTTCTATCTCCTATTTTTCAAAAACACAGTATGTTAACTATGTGGTTCATTTTTATGCTACATTCAATTTATTATCTAATGTTTTGATTTTGCGTGGATTTTTGGATTCCCACAAAGGTCTCCACATTCTAAATCTATGATGTGTAGAATTCTATAAATACCACACATGTTTATCTGAGTGAGGGTTCCAAAAGCAAAAATCATACGAGTCTATATGTGGTGCAAGTTGATTTGCAATGTGTTAAGAGTCTAGTAGTTTGTAGTTTTTAGTTAATTTTAATCTTTTTTTTTTCTTCTTTAACATCTTATTTTTCTCTTTTTTTTTCAAATTTATTAGAAATCTAGTTTTTATAATTTTTCTTACCTTATTACTATTTTTGGTGAAAATTGTTGAAGTTTGGATCTTGATTGCAAGTTATTCAGCGTCAAGGCACAAACCTATGTATGCAAAGGTGCTACCTAAGTGTGACAATGTGCTCTCGGGTCATCTTGTGTTAAGGCGCAAGCTTGTGTACGTTAATGTGCTTATCATGTTTAGTTAATGAAGTTGCAAGACTTTCAGCGCCAAAGCCTAGACGTTTGTACACCAAGAAGCAACCTTACTGACATGGACAAAAATTCATATTGTGTAAGATAAAAAGAATTAGGAGGCACATTGTAAGGAAGAGGTTTTTTCAAGGTAGGACGAGGGGCAACTCTTTTAGAGCAGGAAGAACAGACCCATACTTGGGTCTTTGGAGAGAAAGATTGGAGAAGATTTTTAGACTCATTTCCTTCTCAAGAACATGCAAAGGGAACATCTCCTTCTTTCCTTGTGTTTTTCATTTTTGTGATAGATTGCTAAATATTTTGTAGTTAGGGTTGATTGATATCTTTGGGATTGTGATATAATTAGATTCTTGACTCTAAGTTAAGCTTCTTTTGATGTTAACTTGTAAATTCATTCTTAATGTTTAGTATGAACTAGCTACTCATACTTTATTTTGATGAACCTTCTTGACATTGAAAAAGGAAATGAGTGGTTGTGATTTACTTGCCTCATCATTTAATTTTCTAAGAATAGAAATTATTGGATGTGTGACCTTTTTAGTTTCCTTGTACTCTAAACCTTAGACTCATATATTTGGAATTGATGAATTAATCTTTGTGTATGAGTTCAAGAGAATTTGTATACCAAGGAATTAGATATGAATTAATTTAGTGAAAACTTTTCTTAATATCTTATAAGAAGAGCTTGAATTAGTAGGAGGAGTTTAGTTTATCACAAGAACAATTGGGTGAAGTTTAATCCTAACTATTTTGTCATTGAATTTTCTTATCTTATTTCAGATTTCGTTGTTTATTTACTTGTAAAATGAATTAAATAAATTTATATTTTAGAGTTCTCTTCAATCTTAATTGCATTCAATTAGTTCAATTTAGCTAATCAATATGTGTTTGCATTAATATCTGTGGGAATGATATTTTACTTTCACTATATTACTTGTGTGATTTAGTACACTTGCTGAAGGCGTTATCACAATTGTTAGAAATTAGTGTTCTGATTTAATGTTGCTGCACATATACATGATCTAAACATATATAATTTAAACATGCTTAGAATGTTTAGATATCTCTCATTTATGACCTTTATAGTGCATATATGATACAAGGCCAATTGGTTGTCAAGTTCCTTTGATGCATGCTCGTTAGATCTATAACAAGAGCCTAAATATATGAGAGATATCTTACAATGAACTTGCCAAAGAAAATAAATTAGTAACTCTTAAAGCATTGGGTCTCTTCTATATATTACTTTTCTCACATTGAAAAATGTAAAACTTTTTAAAAAAAACTTACATAAGCACTATAAAGGTAAGTGATTATCTTCTTTATAAAACTAATAATTTCCTCTAAAAAATAGTTATATGTATTTTTTCTTATATTTATTTTTATCACAATATTTATCATATTTCTTCTTCTTCTTTTTTTCTATCTCTCTCTTTTGCCTATTTGAGGGTATAAAGTGATAGCTTTTCTTTAAAAAATGACATATACTTCAACATACAAAGTTATTTTTTATTAAATACTTATCACTAAATAAAAAATTATACCTATTAATCAATATACAACTCTATTTCTTTATTACAATAATGTATAACTCTAAGCAGAATAACAATTAGACCTAATAAGATGAATAGTGAATAGTTAAATTACCTATTAAAGGGTGAGAGTTGAGTGTGGATACCCACAAATTAATGGAGATACTCACAAATTAATGGAGATGAGTGTAAATATTGGTGGTTTAAGTATTCATCTTATCTTGTGCACTCTTTGTATTTTTAAATATATTTATTATTTAAACTCTATAAAATATGAGTTAAGGACAAATTAATTAAAATTAGCTCATTTGATGAATGTCTCTCACCACAAACTCCATTATGTTATGCATAATTTTAACATATAATATATAAAATAAACTATAACAAAGAGAACATGAAAATTTCAAAGTTAATTTAGTTATAGAAGTAATTAAAGAAAGTTAGAACTCTAGTATAATATTTAAAAATAAGGGTCTAATTAACTTAATGTTTGGCTAAAAAAAATTAAACTAATAATTTTTATTAAAAATGTATTTAAAAATTATAATGAATAAACATTGAGGTACTAATTAGCAATTTTCTAAAAATAAAAAATAAGTAGAAATTTTAATTTCTCACCTCACAATGCATTAAAAAATATGTTATACATGATTTTTGACACTTAAAATATTTATGTTTTATATTTATTAAAATATTTTTAGTTTATATTACATAATATTGTTAATTTAGAAAATATTATGTAATAAAAGTACTTTTATTTGTTAATATTATAATAGTTTAGAATTTTAATTTTAATTTTCTTATAAAATTCAATTTATGTTTACACATTAATTTTGTTATGGTATATATATGGCTTCATGATTAATAAATAAAATATTGGTTCTCTATATTTTATAATAAATTAAATATATTACCTAAATAATTTATACAAAGTCCTTAATTTTATATATTTAAAATTTATTGATATTAAAAATTGTTTAATTAAGGCTTATTTATATTTTATATTCATTAGCACATTATATTTTAAATAGTAATTATAGTTTTAAATAATATTTTAAGCTTACTTTATTTTATTTTATTTAGATAAGTTATATATAAAAAATATAGAATCTTGATGAATATATATGATATAAAATAATTTTAATATGGTTTTAATTTTTTAAAGTACAGGAGGATGAGTGAAATTGTGATCAAAGATAATAAATTTTATAAGTATTTTATCATTAAAAAAAGTATATCGATTATTTAAGTTATGTTATGACATTTTTTAAAATATTCATCATAAATACATATGATTTTACTGCTTAATTTAATACTTTTATTCAAGAAGTATTGATAAAATTTATTGAAATAAAACTAATATATCTAATTTATATTAAACAATTATAATTTGTTGAACTTATCCATTAACAATTGGATAATTAATAAATAAATATATTAAATTTCTACTCTGGAATTATATATCATGATTTTTAGTTGTTTTATATTTCAAAATAATATCTTATGAATATTTATTTTAAAACATTAATATTAAAGTAAATATAATATTTGTCAATGTATAATTTAATTAATTTATTCAAATTTTAATATTTTTATTTATTTTGTTAAAAAATTATCCAATCAAATAAATATTTAAAATAACACAATAGATAATTTGTCTGTTCGTATAAGATAACTCAACCTTAATGGTAGTTAGAACCCCTTCTCTATTATGATAGAGCGTGACCATGTATTTATATTTGAGTTTAAAATGTTGGTTATTAGATTTTTCAAGTTACTATAGTATAAGAATTAGCTGACTTAAATACTATACATAACAACTTGCACTTGAATTGGATCAGAGTGTGTAAGAATTTTTGCTATGAATTTGACTTAATTCAAGAATTGATGCTGAATATTTTAACGTTACTGTGAAATAGTCTTGCTAAAATGGGTTTGATGACCATCTTAATCTTTAAAATTATAAAAAAAATTATCTCTTTATCTTTAAATGAAGTATTTATGAGGGATAATTTAGCTAATTTGTTTTTGAAATTTTCCACTTATAAAAATAAATAAATATTTAAAATTTTAAGAAATCATCTCATCATATATTTGCTATACAAGATTTTTATTCAACATATATCTTATTTATATTTATAAAATTGTTGACAAGTAAAACAAAGATATATTATTGAGTAAATATTTAAAAGTTGAAACAAATTAATACTATCACATTTTACAAAGATGGGACGAAAGATAACAAAATTTATAAATATTGTATCATAAAATAATATATCGATTACTTAACCAATGCTATGATATTTTAAAAAAAATCATCATTCATCATAAAAGCAAATGCCTTTTTAAATTTAATTTTAAAGTTTTTCCAAAAGGGATTGTTAGAAAGTTTGAAAAAAAATCTAATTTATATAAAAATATTATTTTTATGAGCCCAATTGTTATTATAATATAGGATAAATATTTTATGAAATTCTTAAAATGTTTTTATAAAATTTGGTTTTGCAAATTCGGTTGCATTGGTCCATGGAAGAACTAAACGGACCATTCAAATATTCAATCATTTGTCTTCATTTTAGACATTGGCATTTGCGTAAATTTATTTAAATTCTAAAACAAGCAGAAGGTTGATAATTCCGAATGTTGTTATGTTAGCGTTTAAGATTGGGGGAGTGAAATTGGGCGTTAAAGTCAACACATTGTTCCTTAAAAATAGCTAACTTCGCACAAGGGCCGCAACTCAACCCGAAGAAACTAATGCCAAATAGCCCACAAATGACGAAGCAGTGAACCGATTCTTTATAAAAGGGGACACTTACCCACCTCCCCGCTCACATCCTTCGTAGCTTAGCTTTCCACGAACTCAACCAAACCAAACCAAATCTATTTCTTTGCCCCTTCACTTTTTTTCATTTTGTGTCCACTCTACTATTTCACTTGTACGAGGTACATACCTCTGACCCTGTCCCTTTCTCTTTCTCTTTCTCAAACTAAAAACTAAAACCCATTTTCTTCTCCAAAACCTTCGACCACGTCTAACCCAAACGCGCTTCTAAGCACTTCTTCGTTCTCTCTCATTTCAACCATTGTCGTAACTTTCATGGACTATTAAATCCCCGACACTAGCGGTGAGCCTCATTGGCCTTTTTCATCGTACTTCTTCGAAACAACATTCTAGGGTTTTCTTTTTCTTGTTACTTCGGAGCTGTCGAATATGTTGTAATTTTTTTTTTTTGTTAATTTGTTTAGCGATTCTGAAATTGTTGCACAAGGTGTCTCTGGCCTCTTTTTATTTTATGTTTGAAGATGATTTAATTTGGGAAATTCACATGAATTTGGGTACTGTGACATTGATGCACACAATGTGCGGCTAGGGTTTAACTTTAATCCCCTCTTTTGCTTGCATCACTTTCAGAAGAATATCAGGACGAAAACAGCATTTTGTAATGAGAGGTGCTTGAATTTTTTCTGGATTGTGTGTTTAAATTATTAATGTAAATTGTATGGGAGTATCTATTGCCACACCTTGTTAAGAAAATTTTATAGGAAATATCCCTTATATTAATATGCTTATAAGATAGAGGGAAAAAAAAGGGTATTTTAGACAAAAAATCATTTAAATGAGAGTGGCAATAGACATACCCCAATTGCATACATGGATTTGTGATGATGATGATAATGCAAATGGGGTTTCTTTTGGTATTGGGGCATGTAATTGATAATTTATGTGTGTGAAGATAGAACATGGTGGCACAAATTACTGTGAACAAATTCTTACTGACGTCAGTTTTTTTGTGCTGTGTGGTACCAGGACTGTGCTATGCTAGCTGGTAAAGAGACAAAACATGAACTAAGTGTGCATTCAAAATTTCAAATAGGAATTCCTTTCTTGGTGTTTGTGCATGCATTGCTTATGTATTTGCAAGCATAGGTTATACGAGGGAATTTCTAACTGGGATTGGTTTTTTGGTGGCATCCAGTATGCTGAATGATCAAGGAAATTGATAAGGAGACAAAGCCAGTGTTGTGAAGGAACTAAATTTAACAAGGAGTTTATGGTTGGTCTATTTGCCTTTGAGTATCATTTCGTTTATACTTTAGTTGAGATACTGCAACCCTAAATGCATAGAAGAGGTTTGTGGTAGGAATTACAAAGTAAAACTGCGACCCTAATGCAAGAAACCTCTGAAGACGTTTTGTTGAACCTTGTACTTTCACCATATTTTTATCTTCTGAGCTCTGCTCAATCGAAATTGTTTCATTTTAAAATCAGTGTGTTGTGTGAACTTTGAATGCATAGAAGCTTGCTCACATTTTCTGGCAGTGCTTTTCATTGTAAGTTGAATTATCTGTTTAGCCTTCAAAATTTGGAAAGTCTGTGGAATCAATCATTTTAGACTTTAGTGTTGCTCAAATTATTGAATTAACTTGAAAATGAAATTGAGGGAGGGAAGGAAAGATAATCGATTATTGATAAAATTGTAAAAAAAATTAAAAAGTCAAAGAAGAGTCCTCTGTTTCTTGAACCAAGAAATAATCTGTGTTATCCCATTCACTAATAAAATCTTCTCTTTCAATGTGTGAAATCAATATCTTTAAGAAAACTTGAAGTTGGAGTTTGGAAATTCTCTCACTTCATCTTTGTTTATTCCTTTTGCATTAAACAATTTCAGATACTGATGATGATCATTTTCCCTCAAATCAAAATAGAGTTCTGAGAGGTAGAAGTGTTGCTGGAAATGGAAAATCTTCTGTAATATCCATCCCACACTCTAAATTGCATAGTGACATGGAGGCTCAAATTCATCAACTTGAACAGGAAGCTTACTCTGCTGTCTTGCGTGCTTTCAAAGCCCAGTCTGATGCTCTTACTTGGGTATATATCTTTAATTCCCTCCATTTTTTGTTTCTTTTATTGGTATTTACTTGCATTGAAGGTTTATGTTGATGTATGTTATTTTATGTATTCGTCAGGAGAAGGAAGGTTTGATAACGGAGCTTAGAAAAGAGTTGAGGGTTTCAGATGATGAACACAGGGAGCTTCTTACCAGGGTTAATGCAGATGACATTATTCACCGCATAAGGTATTGAAATTATTTGAATAGTTGCCGTAGTGTATAGAAAAATTATATTGACAGTTTCACACTGTTATATAATGGAAAATGCAATCAGGGAATGGAGACAAACTGGCTGTTACCAACCTGCAAGGCGAAGCACATCTCAGCCTATTCATGACATTTTACCTAGTCCTACTGTTTCAGCTTCCCGTAAAAAGCAGAAGACATCACATTCGGTACCCCCTTCTCTTTTATACTTACTATGTGATGTGATGTGGCTTTAATGGCATTTATCTTCATAGTTACTGCTGCAATTGTTTGTGCTTTAGGATCCAGAGGCCAAAATTCTACTAATTGCACTGCAATTATATTTGTTACTTGAGAATTAGAAAGAAAAGTGATATGTTGATTTTCATTAGGTTTTTAATTTTCCACCCATTTTGGCACCAGGGTCAGTCATTGCCTGCTTTATCTTCAGTGAAGTCTGTGCAATACACTTCTGCTGGACCTACTGGAGGTAGGCATTTCACAAATCGCAATTCTTCTAGTGCTCTTGCATCTAATGCACCTGCCGAAGCAGCATCCTTTGATCCATTGATTGGAAAAAAAGTTTGGACTAGATGGCCTGAAGATAACCACTTTTATGAGGCTGTCATAACTGATTACAATGCTGCTGAGGTATGTTTATACATATATTTTACAAGGTTAACACATTTGAATTCTCATTGGGCTGATTTTCTTTTCATATTTTGGGAGACTTATGTAAGCAATTATTTTTTGTTTTTCCTTTTCACTTGTAAGATGCATTTTTCGTTCTTGGTTTTGGTTTCTCCATGCACAAGTTACAGAGAATGAAAAGTATGCAAACTTTTTTATATATATTTCATTTAGGATAAAATGTGTCTCTATTGTCTACAACCTCTTCAAGTATATGTAATAAAGTCAACTGGAAGTGCATGTAAGCATGATACTGATTTTTTAAACAACTTTTCAGTAAATTTTTACTAATTTAATTTATTTTTTCTTTGCAGGGCCGGCATGCATTGGTTTATGATATTAATAAAGCAAATGAGACTTGGGAATGGGTTGATCTCAAAGAGGTATTTTTTTCTTCTGTTTTGTTGCATATATCAGATCAGTAATTAACTATATTTTATTGTTTTAACATTTACATTAAGTGCAGCACCGGAAAAAAATATGTTAACAAAAAGATTAACATGAAATAATATGAAATGACTGAAAATATAATACTTCTATATATGGCAAGGCAGCAACAACAATAATAAGCAAATGATTTTTTGGCAACTGGCACCATCATCCTTTAAAATGAATGTATAGAATAGTTTATTTAATCTGCATTTCAAATTTTAGTATATTTTGCTATCTGCTATCTGCTATCTGCTATAGTGATTTTGGGAGGTGGCTGCTCTTTGCCACTATCCAGGATTGACACAATTTTCTATTGATTAATTGATCATAATCAAGTTGAAGCTATGTCAAAATGTCTTTTAACCACTTTGGCTGACTTGGGACCCTATTTGCTGTTTTTGTGTTGTCAGTGTTGTTAAGATATCCCACATTTGTTAGGAATAGTGATAAAATACTCATGACTTGTGTGGTCCTCCACCCATACAGCTAGCTTTTAGAAGTGAATTCAAGCTCAAGTTTCTCAATATAGTATCAGAGTCTTGTTGGCCCACCCACAAATGTCTAGTCCTGTAAACTTTATGCACCAAATGTCCAGTCCTTGACATGAGAGATAAGTGTTAAGATATCTCACATTAGTTAAAAATAGAGTCAAAATAATCTGTATAAGGGCTTCTGTAGTTCTCCTCCTATGAGGTATATTTTGGGAGTGAGTTAAGTTCAAGTTTCTTAATAAGTGTCAAGGGAGTACTAAGTAGTTTCTTCAGTAGTAGTTGTAATTTTTGGGGACTTGTGTGTATATGCTCCCACTTTCCTCACCTAGTCACCCTGATTCTTAGAACTGTCATTGATAGTGCTCTATAGCGGCACAGAGTTCTTGGCCTCTACAAAGCTGCTTTTGTGGAGTGTTTTTCAGGTTGGGCCGAATCACAGCCATAATCATTTTTGTTACCTGTAATGGTGCAATTCTGATTGTTGTGAAAACCCTGTTTTCCAGCTGTTCCATTGTTGTTTTAAGGCTGTTTTCCTTTTGGGAAAAAAAGGGGGGGGGGGGGGTTTAAAAATGAGTTTTGACCACTTTTCAGATCTAAAAGAAAACTCTAGCTTTCCCCCTTTCAATATGAGAATTACCTGATTAAATTAGGGAATTGCTATAAGATATTCTGCATCCTTTACTTTTGCTGTTATAATATTTACTTGTATGTTATTAAGACCCATGACTTTTTATTGTTAACTATGAATATGTCATAATAAATATAGAGTATATTATGAGCATTTATATATATATGTGTGTGTGTGTGTGTATAAGAAATTGAATATAGCAAGCATCTTGTTTATGCACTATCCTGCTAGTGTTTTTGGGGTCAGTTGTTGTGTGCATAAACTATATTTTGAACTGGTTCTGGATCTCGGAAGATTACAAATTTTTAGGGGGAAAATAAGTTTAAAATAATGTTTTACTATTTGAGTGATAATTTTTCTTTTGTGTATATACTCATACATTCTGCTGCATAAGATGCTTTCTGTTATGCTACAAGTTGCTGGTTCAAATAAGTAAAAGTAAATGCAAATGATTTGACTATTTCTATCCCAAAAGAAATTGTGTAATAATGACTATGTCGACATATGAACTTTTGATAATGATCTTTTATGTTTCAAGGATACATCATACATATACCTTGCTGATTACAGATCTCACCTGAGGATATACGATGGGAGGGTGAAGACCTGGGCATGCTTCATAAAGGTGGACATAGTGGGCAAGGTCGTGGAGTTAAGAAATTCTTTAGTCGTGGTGTTGATACTTTAGGTACTGGAAGAGGGAGAGGTCATCCCAAGTTTCACGCCAGACAAGAATATCCTCCACCACAAAATGGTATTGGAAAGAGAGTTTTGGAAGACATTGAATTGCTGAACACAGATTTACTAGTTAAGGAGGTAGATACGATTTGCCTAAGCAACCTCATTGAGACCAAAAGAAAAACAGGGAAATTCCTTTAGTTTTTTTTAACATTGATTTTAAACAGGTGGAAAGAATTTTTGCTACATACCCTCCAGAATCTATGGAGCTTGAGAAGGCAAAGCAAATGTTGAAAGTACATTCTCCAACCAATGATCATGCATTTCCTTTTCTTTAACCTTCTTGCCCCGTCTTTTTTGTTCATACTCTTGATTGTTTTCCTTGAACCATTGTATAGGAGCGCGAGCAAGCACTTGTTGACGCCATTGCAAGGATTGCAGATGCATCTGATGGTGAAAGTGGTAATAATTAGCTGTCTACATAATTGTGCTGCATACTGTTGTATATTGGAACTTTTTTCCTTTTCTTATTTAAGTCAAACAAAATTTGCAACAACAACAATCAAGTCTCATTCCACTAAGTGATGTCGATTACATAAATCGGACAGTGCTAGATCTCTTTCAATGATTTTCTTTAAAATTCTTTTGAGTCACCCTGTATTCAAAGATACTAGACTAAAAGTTATACTGTTTGCTCTCTTAATCGGTGCCTCCATTAGCTTTTACACATGACAAAATCACCTTAAAACAATCTTTTTTACTATAAATTCTACTCTAATATTCTTGCATATTCAATCATTTTTTATCTTTCTCATGTGATCACTCATCTATTTTAACATTCTTATTTTATCATTCTCACTTCTTTTCTCATGTTATTCATTTGAAGTCTAGCATTCTCTCCCATATAAATAACATGTCATATAACAGCATGATAAATTTCTTTCAGTTTGATAGGTACTTTACAATAACAAATAACTGACTGTCTTCCTCTACTTTTATTGTCCATCTTGTATTGAGTAAAATCTTCATGAATTTCTCTAATATTTCTAAAAACCATTTTGTAATTGAAACTTACATTTTATTATACTATTGTTCACAACAAAGTTTAGCTAGTCTCTAACAAAGTTTATTATACTATTGTTCACAACCGTGATCAAAATAGTGCAATGAGCAGCTTGTAACCAAGTACGGAGGGGTAGTAATGCGAGTAATTAAGGTCCTCCTATTTTAGCTAATTTATGGATCAGTTTCTTTAGAGAAAATGATAGCTTTCTTTTTTATTTCTAGCTTATTAAGAAAAATTCTAAAGAAAGAGATTATTTCTTATAGTTAAACGATTGCTAAACATGTGTTGAGCGCATAGTTGATAATCAAAATAGTGATGTACATTATCTTTCAGTGTTAGCCTTGTTTGCACAATTGGTGATCACGGTTGCTATTAATGTTTTATGGATTAAGCTGAATCCAAGTCTGTTGTATGCTTATCACAAATAATTATTATGGTTGTAATTGTGTAACTTTTTACTATGCCTTATGTACAGATGAAGAACAGCCGTTCTTGCAGCATGGACAACTAATGAACAGAAGATGAGAGCACTGAAACCAGCTGCATGTTTTTGGAGGTAATCGTCTTTGAAGATGATTTTAAGTTTAGTTGTGGATCAATGCTTAGTCAACTACTGCACCTGTAGGATCTAACCACAGCAATGGTCTTTTTGTCATTTATCTCTCTTTCCCTGACTTTTGCCTCTAGTGCCCACGTGCCAGTTTTGTGCTCCATGACATATTTAGAATTTAGAGACTCACATTATCACCTCAGGCATATCAATTTTTTTGTCTGCTTGCAACTGTAAAATTCCATTGTTAATTTTGTCTTGGAGAAACTTCACAAGAAAGGAAAAAAGAAATTGGTTTGAGTTAATTTTTTTCAATTCGCTTGTCCTTTAGACATGACTTTTTGACAAATACTGTCAATGTCTGCAGTTCCTCCACACCACACCATTCCTGCAACACAACATTGAGACCGTAATACTTCGTTTGGACAGGAGGACAAGAAAAAAAAATATAGATAATTTTTTTTGTTAGAGAAAATAAAGTGAAAACAGAAGAATTAAAGTATGTTTGATTTACTTTTTAAAAATAAATTGTAATACAAATTTATTTTATGATTTATTTTTAAAAATTAAAAACTCTTTAAAAAGTAAATCAAACATGCTTTTAACCTCTAAAAATAAAAATATACTTTTTTTCTTCATTTCTTTTAATTTTAATAATTTTTTTTTATCTTTTCATTTTCATTCCTCTAAAATAAACCGAGGTAATGAGTGTAAGCATTTGGATGGAATTAAAAGTACTAAATGGGGTTATTGGAAAGAATGCACGAGTTAAATTACTGTATGATAACTTTTTAATCTGTCTAAGTGGAGAATCCAAAATACTACTTTCAATTCAATACAAAAAAATAGGCTCATTACCGTCAAAATAAGTAAATTCAATTAGTCATTTACCTTTATAATCTCGTATAATAACACCACAATTCATGTAGTTTATTCTATAACTATCATCTATATTAATTTTATAGTACTTAGAAGATGGTAGATTCAATAGCATCTTTTCAAAGGGCTAATTTATTTGAAATTAGTAGAGAATAATCATTCTTAGATTTACTAATGAAATCTAAAATGTGATAGATGTTTCATTTATCTTTATCAAATAGCATATTATTCCTCCTATGTTAAAGCTACCAAAGAATGGATAAATAGGACATATAATATTGTGTCGAGGTACGGTAACAATCCAAGTAAAAGATAAAGAAAATTATAATGAAAAAATGGCAACTCAAGTAAAACTAAACTTCTTTATAGTAAAAGACGATATTTGAAACAATGGTTAATATCTTCAAGCTCATGAGAACACTTAAGCCAAGAGTTTGAGAAAGTAAATCTACGATGATTACACAAAATATTAGTAGGTAAAGATTCATAACAAATAAGTTAAATAAAAAATTTAATTTTTTCCATTATTAACAACTTTCAAAGCCAATCAATATTTAAAATTGGTAAAGAATTAGATCTCAAATTATTGAGTCAAACATAAGTTGTCAGAATATGTCTATTTTGTTCCTCTTCAATATCATTAATCGTTAAAATTTATGTCTCTTAACTCAAATTGTTGGTACATACAAGTTTTGATGTGTTGCAGGATAGAGTGACGAGTTAGTCCAATTTTTAAATAACAAATAAATCACTAATAGTAAGGTTTGTATCTAATATGTGAACAAAAATTAACTAAGTAGGTCAAGTACAATCCAATCAAAATATTATACAAAAAAAATTAAAATTTACTTAAAATTTAAAATTATATCTCGAAATATTATAAACTTTCAAAATATTCTTTCAACGATAGTCTTTTAAGTCTCATTTTTTAAAAAATTAAGTTTCTTGTTACTTTAATTTTTATATTTTTGTACCTATTTTTAACAAAATAATTTTTTTATCATTTTTTCTTGTCTTTTCTATTTTTTTTTCTCAGTCCTTTTGACAATGGTTGTCAAATGATATTTCGTTATTATTGCTTTTTTTTTTTAATTGGAGGAGACCTTTTCGGTATTATATAATTGGAAACAATAGAATATGAGATTGGAAAGTATTTTACGTATACAATCCGATACTAAACTTACCGACTTACCCTTTATTAAATAATTAATGTATAAAGTTTATACTTTATATTAACTTAAGGCTTAACGTGACTTCTCATCATTTAGAATGAACAATGTACGTTTTTAATTTTGTAATAATTTTTTTACTTGTATTATAATTGATTTTTAATTTTTTCCATTAATCTAATCCTCAAATTTTTATTTTATACTAAAAAATTATACCAATTAAACCGATTAAGAATGAGTTTGTTTTAGATTTTAGTATAATTGATTTTAAAAGAATTGATGTCAAAACAATTAAGTTTTAGAATTAAGTCATGTTTAAGAATGCTATTCCAAAAGTTAATTTAGAGGAATTGATCTTAATTGAACAGGAAAGTAGATTTGTTTTCAAGGGGTAAATGTAGGTATAGTTTCTTAGCTCCACATCTAGAATAAATTCTTATAAACAGGAAAATTATAAATTTTAACTTATTTAAAATATAATTTTATTTAGTGCAGAGTTAATATTGAAGATTCAAAACCATTGCAAAACTCAAATCAAAATTGATTTTATTGCTTTCCATTCGGATTTTCGGGTCATACCATAACCCTCACAAGCTAAATTATTTTTAATTATCTTGCACGCAAAACTCATATAATAAAAAGTTGTTTTTTTCAAAATGTTCAAATAATTTCTTACCACTGAATAGACACATCATAAACCTCTAATTATTTGAGAAGAAAAATTTGAGAAGAAAATGAGGATTGTGAAAGTTTTATATTTAAATTTTAACAATAGATATTTTTTACAGGAGTTAATTTTAGTCAAATCAAGAATATCCTCGATTGATTGAGAGTAACTCTCCTAGAGAAATTTTCATTTTTGTTTTCTTACATAAGGCTTGAATACAAAACTTTAAGGAAAAAATCAACCACTTGTTGTCAAATTAAGGATTTATGGCCTAGGTTTTCCAAGAATACAGATCGAGAGACATACTTGTAAAAAGCATAAGAACGTTTGCATGTTCACGAGAGAATTAGTTAATTATCATACACAAGGGCTTGCCCTTTTATATAGAAAGAATTATTTGATCTCCAAAGGCCGTTAAGTTCACATAACCTAAAAAAAATCCCCTTTTAAGTTGAAAGATAATTTGACAATTAATATGTACTCTCAATAAATGGGTTTTTTACATAAATAAAATTAAAAAAATTAATATTATGTATATACACTAAAATAAAAAATTTTACATAAATATCCTAATTTAAATTACATAAAAGTCTATTAAAATTGATTTCAATATCAGTACACAAGTTGATTTAAATTATTTTTAGCAACGTAATAAAAAAATTGATTCGACTTCAGTTATATAAAAAAATCAATTATAATCAACTTTAGTTAAAAATACCCTAATTAAAATTTTTTTTGGCAGTGCAATGAAGAAGTTGATTATAATCAACTTCAGTTATACAAAAAAGTTGATTATAATTGATTTCAGTTATATAAAGAAGTCAATTATAATCGACTTTAGTTTAAAAAAAAATCATGACTAATATATATTTTTAGAATATGAACTCCAACGATTGTATACATAATTGGAAGAGTCTTGTTTTTGCCCTTTCACTCCCAAATCAAATGAAAAGAAGATAAGGACAAATTTTGCATATATTATCTAAAATTGGAGGAATTCGTGGAATAGATGCCAGGATACTTCACAAATAAACTAAAAAAAAATTATTCTTTTCCTTTACTTACTCAATCAATGATCTGTTTATGTTGTTAGGCACAGAAGTATACAGGGTGCATATTCTTAGGTTAGTGTTGTGCAAAGGTGAAGTTGTTAGATGTAGTGCTTTCGGGCACCATTGTGTTGTTGTTACTATGTTTGATTGGTCTTTCACAAGCTTTATTGAGTGATGACGTCCTCTATTTATGTGTCTCTTACAATACTTCTAATCCACTACGACATCTCTTGAACACAACTATTTTTTCTCATCTATTCTCCTACACCTTACTGTCTTAGGATTAGTGTTGTTCAAGAATCCACAAGTTTTATTGTGTAATTTACAAATAAAATTAAGAGACTAAAATCATACATTATTGATGGTTGAAAAATCGAAAAGCAAATTAAACCCTATATATATATATATATATAATAATGTTGACCAATTCCCTTATGATATAATTAAAAATAAAAAGTTCTTAAAAAAATATTACGAACACACTCAAGGTAATTTCTAATACAATATCATCTTAATTTTTCATAAAAATTTTTATTTATCAATTCTTAAATCTATCCCCTCACAATCCCTAATAGAAGATCCTTTATAATGTATTAAGCCTAAATGTCATAAGGTGAAATTGGCACGTCAATGAAGCAGCTATCTAAGATGCCTATATCCCCTCTAGTGAACAATTCGACGTGTTAGGCCAACATATGAAAATCAGGAATTGTTTTGTTAAATTATAAAATTTGGAAAACTTGATTAGTGCACAAAATTATTGAATGAACGGTTAAAATCACACAACACAAGTCATGACAAAGGGGTCATAAGTATAATCAATGAATTTTTAGAACTTACTCTTTGTTGTTTGATTACAAGACTGAATCTCGTTAGGGGGATTTAGAGGCATAATCCAAACTATTATTATTGGATGATTTAAGATTAATCATGAGTAGTCAGAAATGTAAATATTTTATAAAATTCCTAGCTTTTGAAAGAATATTTATTGTTCTATAAATTGTGTCATCTTTCAAATCAAAACGTGATATATATATATATATATATATATATATATACACACACACAAAATGCACTTTATCTTTCTTTTAAATTAGATTTAAAGCGTCAGCATTAAAAAAATTGAAGTATAAATTTAACTCATTAATTTATTTGTATATTTTTTTACAAGTTTAGAATTTTTTTTATTTAGTATTTAATTAATATTTTGTATTAAAAAGTAATGTACATTGATAAAAAGAATATACTTTTATTATATGAAGAAAGCTTAAGGATAAAAAAAATGTATTATATGAATGATGTGCTTTTTTTTAATTATAATTACTTGTTTAAAATATAATTCTTGAAAATTAATATTAATAAATAATGTGCATACAATGATAATAAAAAATATAAATTTTATGTTAATATGATAAATAAAATTATATATATATATATGAATTATTTATCAGATATTAATGTCAAGTTGATGAAGTTTAATTTTAATTCATTTAAATAATTAAATTCATTGAGCCTGAATTTATTTATTTAATTAAATTAGACGAATATTTAACTAGATAAATCAAATAATTCAGGTATAGCTAACCTCGTTTATTCCCTAGTGATAACTAGTCATAAACATAAAGATTTGTATCGCTACAATTTGATTTGCTACCCAAATTGTATGTAAAACAAAGTACCATATAAATTAAGATCCTATATAGTCTTAGCCCATGTTTGGAGAATATTAATAATAATAATAGTAAAAAAGGATATTTAGTGTGTGCCCGAGTACGAAATATGAACAGTTAAATAATAATTTATTAAAAATGTAAATTAATTGAAAAAAAGTGCTGAATTTTAAATAACTTTGTATTGCTTTTAAAATTTTTAATGAATACACAATAAAATAATTATTTAAAGGTATTTTAAACACACATTTAATATACATCATTAGATCAACCTATTCTGTATTAGGATAGCATAATAAAAGCTTATGTGTGTA